TGAGTGATTTTAAAGCACACTCGGGGCCTAAGATCTCTCCCTGAAACAGAACTTAGAAGCAAGCCGACCACACATTCAACACCAAGATATCACGTCCCTGGGATTTTACACCTGTCTTTTTTGACATCTTTGCGAATTTTGAGTTTCTCACTTAACAGAGCCACTCCTGTGCTGAGTGGTTTACAAAGCGATGTGCACACCTCAGTATACATAAGGTGACAAGGGACCAGAGGACTTCCCATGAAAACCAAGGTAGGCTGGGGAGCTGCCATAAGGTTTTCATGAACGCTGGGCAAATGTTTCTGATCCGCACACATCCCCAGCCACACTGTCTTATGCGTTTTGAAAGTGTACCAGCACCCTGTACCGTGCACAACCCTGACCATCAGACAGTATGGTGAAAAAACTGCCTTTTCCTGTGTCTGAGATTCTTTGGGAGACTTCCCCTTGCTCCATGCTTTAATGAATGAATAAAAATACTTACAACAGGGGTTTCTGTTGGAGCATTTTAAGGTCAGAAATGAGTAGATGGTGTGTGTTAGAGGTGGGGAAATGGAATACAATGACTGGACACTTTCCGCGTCTTTCTCTCCCAAAGGTTTGTTTGCTTTTTTTTAATGTCAAGAACTTCCCAAGGTTCTCCTAGAACCTTCTGTTCTACTGCATTCATCATCAATATCGTCACAGGATGCTAAGAGACCTTGATGGTGAGGGTGTTGACTATTCTGCTCAGCTAGAGGAGGCTAAACTGCTCGGTGGGTAGAATGGGGAGCCTGGATTCACATCCTACACCCCGCATCCCATATCCTGGATCTCACCTGCAGTTCCCTGCCTTCCCTTCCCTGGTCTTCTTGAGCATGTGAGAAATAGGAGAATGGTGTGTGCCTGGTGTGGCTACTGCGGCAACACTTGACAGTGCAGAGACCTGACAGAGGCAATATTGCCATTGACATTAACTCCTGTCATTACCCTGCAGACACACTTTCTTTGTCTGGGTGTTGGGGGCACCAAAGCCCCCCACCCCTGTTACATCCAATCTCACTTCTCCCCTTTGCCATCCATCCTTCCCCCTGCTGGCAAAGACTCTGACTTTGTCTCCTCCAACCCTGACATCCTTCCCTGGGTTTCAGCCTTGTCTTCATGGGTGTTTGGCAAAGCCAGGTTCTGGACAAGTGCTTCAGAAGACTGTCTCTCAGGACAGATCATCAAAGCAAGGACTGCCTGTAGCTTGAAGAGACACACGGGGCTCTGGATTTCAAGCATTTTACAGCGTTCCACTGGGCAAGTCCTCGTCCCAAATTGATTGCTCCAGAACATCTGTTTCTGAGAACTGGCAGCTGTGAGCAGTCAGTGCCTCTCCAAGTCACTGGCACAAATTAACTCTGACCAAGAATGAAATAATAGTGGAAAGGTCAGGACAAATTGCCTTTCGAATTTGTGCCTCGTGGGGAAGAAGGGCTTCCTCTCTTAGAATGACTCCGATGGAAGATGAAACACTCTCTTCCCGAAGGCTCTACAGGTTTGTTTGTTTGTTTGTTTGTTTGTTTGTTTGTTTGTTTGTGGGGGACAGGGACCTGGCTACTTCCCACTCCCTATCAGTTCTCATCAGGTTTTCCAGGTTAGGCTTCTGGCACACATCCTAAAAGCTGACCAGGGAGGGCTATCTCAAGAGATCACAAGGTGAAATGACACTGAGCCACACACACCTTTTCCTTGCTGGTCAAGGGGGCTGTTTGACAGACAGGAGATGTGAACAGCCAAGTCACTTACATGTTGCCAATCATGAACAGCTCTTCATGAGTAACGGGAGAACACTTAACAAGCATGATGTGCTCCACGAATACAGAACCATAGAATCCAAATGATGCCCACCCCGGGGTCAAGCAGGTGCCCACACTTGAAAGCAAAGCTCTTGCCCAGGCCTATTTCCAGTGTCTTTACTCTCAGAGTCCTAATGGGAAGGGGTACGTGGTGTGTCAGCACATCCCCACACCGGCTTCCGAGAAACAGGTCCCCAGCTGCTGTCAACTCGGGATAAGAAAGGATAAACAGGGCCAGGGAGATGGCTCAGCAAAAGTAAACCAAGAGTGTGAGGACCTGAATTCAGATTCCCCAGAACCTACGTGCAGAGGGACAAGGTGGCACACATCTGTGATTTCAGGATTGTTGTTATAGCGAGATGGGAGAGAGACGGGAGGAGGAGGGGGAGGACGGAAACGTGAGGGCCTGTACAGCAGTGGACAAGACCTGGCTCAAACAAGGTAGGAAGTGTGGACCGGCAGCTGAGGCTGTCTCTGACTTCTACACACCCACCCTGGCATGGCCACGGCCTAAGGTGTGTTCTTTCTGCTCTCCCAGTTGCTTCACATGAGTGGCCAACAAGAGGTGCTTCCTAGTGGGGGGCCAAACAAACAGTAAGGGGATCCAGTAAACAGAAAGGGTTTCTCAGGGGAACACCCAGTCTCATGACTCAACTTCCTTCGGCCGCATGTGTCTGCCTTTAAGTCAATTCAATAACGTTCTGTTTGGAAAAGGTTAACAGAGAAAGGGACCCAAACTAAAGAGTTGTCTTAGCCGTGGCATGACTAAGAGGTTGCCTCTCCAGGTCGCCGCCGCCTGAGAGTTAGACCCAATTAATTTGGAGCATTTCTTGTCACTGAGGCATACAACGGACACAGTAGATAAACGTGCTGGTTAACGTGGCTGCAAGGGTCACAGCCACTACCTCCAACAGGCCCCATCATCAGCTCCATTAGTTCAACAAATGTTTGGGTAAAATTGAAGCAGAGATGTGATTTGAACAAATAGTCAGTCTTCAGAGGATTTACACCCATCGGCCCGTTAATTGAATAATGTGTCAACATAACAAAATGTTTGCTCTTGCCTTCTCAGGGGAGGCAAACTCTCCCCTGGGCTCAGTGTTCCATTTTCTGAGATTCTCTGTAACAGGCAAAGGAGGCCGGGCCCTGCAGACCAGTTTTGTTATAATTAACATGATACTGTCTGGTTCTGTTGAAGACAGGCAAGAGGCAGAGACACTGAGATGAGGAAGCACAAAGAATACTGATGGTGACCAGATAATTAGTTGGAAATAAAAAAATCGATAGTGACAGACCAATGGACAAGTTCAAATACATGCTCCTCATTATGCAAACACAACTCTGAACAATGTCTTCCAACAGCCATACTCTCACAAGACAACAGGAGGGACTGTCACCACAGGGCACCAGGAGGAACTGTCACTGGAGGTTGTTACTTAGAGGCTGAAGCCACTAAGACAAAAGGCAACAGATTAGACTCCTGGAAGGAGACAGATGACCTAGTTCAAGAGTCTACCTGAAAAATAGCAAGAGAATAACAGTCCTCAAAGGACTCTATCCTAACTGGATTCTCCTGTTGACATCGCTCAGCCTTAAAATGTCAGGGCTTGGGAGCCCAGCCACACCACTTCTCCTTTGAAAGAAGTATCACCCAAGGAGGGCCATGGAGAAACAGGGAAGTGACGTCCCGGGCACTGAAGTGTGCGGCCTGAGAGCAACAGAGCAGATCAGAAGCTCAGCTATGGTTCAAAGTACCAAGGAGAAAAGATGAGCAGACGGACCTTCCTAATTTTAGTAATCGTATATCCCCTTCCCCCACAAAACTCCCCATGAGTTGTGATTTATTGGTTTTATATATAGAAATCATACATATTTAAGATTCCCTGCCCCTCACAGGGTGGGGGCAGAAGAAAGGGAGAGAGGGAATGAAATGAACCCTGTAGGGGGAGTTTTCTACTGAAGCTTGAGTCTCACTTGGGGAGTCCTGGGTCTTGCCTCTCCCACTTACTGGAGATGTCAATCAAGTCCCATTTCCAGCGAGCTTCAGCAAGGTTAAACTCCAGGAGCGTGTGCGCAGTCCACAGCCCACTGAAGTCTCCCCTCATGGCTGGTTTGCTCTGCCAGGGAGCAACACACCCCAAAAAACAACAGCAAGGGGCCAAAGCTTGGAAGGGAAGGCAAGCCAAAAATACCCAGCCAGCACAGCTGTGTGTACAGTATGAATCTTCCCAGCAAACACAGCACAGGGATTTGATGCTCCCTGGATCACAGGGCTCACAAACACACTTGGAAAAAATAATCTGACCATCACTCCTAATTAAACGGTTGTTTGGGGGCTATGCATACTGTTCCACAGTAGACTGCTTACCTAGCACACCTGAAACCCTGGCTCCCATCCCTAGTACCTCAAAGTATCAAAAGAATAAATATGTGTGTTTTCCCCTACATCAAGGCAAAATTGGTGCTACATGGGTGTGTCACATTTGACCATTCCAAAGAGGGAGCAGCATTGGTTTAGATCCTTACAGAATTGCATGGTTCAGAGATGGCCATAAAGTCCGAGACGATTTTGCTGTCAACTCCAGGGGCTGTTTGTTGTGCACCGGGAAGAACCACACCAGCTATACAACTGGCTGTGGGGTGAGTTATGAACGGAGCTCTCAGCCCTGCTCTGGAACACAGATGGGAACTCCCTGGGACAGGTACAGCCCTAAGAAGCTATCACACCTCCGTAAAATCAATAATCAATCAGTGGTGATAAAAGGCAACTTGGCAGGGAGTCACCAGCCAGGGCCAATTCAGCGGGAACCTATACAGTCTTGTAAGACCAGGCTAGGCTCAAGCAGTTCTCCTGTCATCTTTTCTAAAAAGGGCAGGCCGCCAGGGGTCCAAGTTGAGGAAAGTGGCTCAGGTGACAGCGCTAGTGACAGACCTGAGAACTCAAGGTCTACTTACTGCTGCGGGTGGGGGGTGGGGGTGGAGGACAGGGGAAGGGGTGCTGACCCGACAGACCGTCCTGCAACCAGCCCGGGACAGCGGGGCGGAGGGGAAGGGAGGGGACTGGAGGGACCGGACAGGACAGGAGAGGATCAGAGGGAACAGGAGGGGACGGGAGGGAACCGGAGAGGGCAGGAGAGGACAGGGGGGCACTGGAGAGGGCAGAGAGGGCCGGGACCGTACCTGGGCTCCGGCAGGACGACCTTCTTGCTGGCGCGCGCAGCCGGCGCAGCCTTGCTCTTCTCCATAGCCATCAGGTAGCTGACGTCGGCCAGCACGGCCTCCAGGTCCGCCATGGCGGCTCCGCAGCTCCCGCCGCCCCGACGGGGCCACGGCGCGCCCGACGCGCGACCCCGACGCGGACCCCGACGCACCGCCCCTTCCGCGGCTCCGCGCCCCAGCCCGGCGCGCCCCCAACCGTCCGCGGCCACGCGCTCCTGACCCAGCCTCTCAGGCACCAGGGACTTCCTCTCCCTCCTCCTCTCCCTCTCCCTCCTCCCTTTCCTCTCCTTCTCACCCTTAGCTCCCCAAACACAGTCCAGATGCCCAGTACTCAAGGGACCATGCCAGGAGGTCGCCAACAGCGCACTGTCAACCGAGCACCTCCAGGAGGTGACCTGGAGCGGTCCCACCTGACCTTTCAGGTGATTGCTAAAACCTGATTGAGGTCAGAGTTACTCCTAGGGGGTGTCCCCAGCCTCTAGCCCCACCCTAGGCCTCCCTCTGTGAACCAAGTCAAGAGAAACCTAAATAGCAGAGAAAGTTCCTTGGCTGCTGCTGTTCAGGGTGAAGCCTGGTGAAGAGTCCCTGGGGACACAGCTGATGGAGCACTCTAAGTTCAAGGTCACAGGTGGCTTGCACTCAGGGTGCATGTCCAGTGCAGGACTGAGGGCGTTCTGGCTCTTGCAAGCTCACCACCGGCTCAAGAGGCACAAGAGGAAGCGCCTTCTTGAGAGCCCCGAGCCTCCTGAGTTTTCAGGGAAGTAGAAGAGCTGAGACCCGATATTGGGCAGTAGGGAATTTCCAGGGGCCTGGGCCTTCCACTGTGACCTTTTCACTACCCACAGCCCTGCCTGGGTTGCTCCTTATTTTTCTGCAGCCAGGGCACAAAGGTCCACATTCAGAATCCATGTGGCACCCATTAAGGGACCAGAAAAATCTGAAGACGTCCTAAGCTTGAAGCGCCCTTATCCAATTTATCACACAGCACAGGGAACCCCGGTTTGGCCAGAGCTGGAGTCAGCATTCTGTCCTTAGTGAAGGGGGTTATGGTCAAGTTTTGGCTAGTTCTGGGGTTATCCTACCAGAAGTGGCTCGGATCTGGGTCACATGACCCAGCTTTTGTTTTTGTCTCTACTCTGTTTGCTAACTGACCAGTTTTACCAGAAGTTTCTCCAGCTCCAAGGCACAGTATGTCGGGGGACTAGAAGAGGTGGGAAGGGAAGGGGGAAGGCCCTGAGAAGGAGCTGCATGTGCCCCATAGAACCCGTGTCACTCCACAGCATCCTGTGGAGAGCAGGCAGACAGGCCGAGCCCAACCTCGCCTTAGACTTTCCACTTCTACCGCTTTTTCCACTGAAAAATGGGAACACAGAGTGTCTTGTCCCCTCAAGGTGGAGGGAAGGGGTAAGTTCCCCAAAAGTGTGCTGCCTTTCAATGTCTGAATCAGTATAGTTTCTTCCAAAAAGCTGGGTTTTTTAAGTCATCTGGGGTTTTTACAAATAAACTATCCTCCTACCTCACTCATTTTCTTGATTCTTTTTGACATAGGATACTTTTGTTTGCTTTTATCGAGTTCTTTTTCCTAGTTGTAGTGTGTACTAAGTTATGAAGACACAAGCATTCAAAGCCTTGCTCTCCTCTAAATGGCTGAGAGACATCAGAGGCAATGCCACAGCTCTCTGAAGCTATGTTTTCACCACGACCTGGCAATGAGACCAGTTACAACTAGATCTTTTGAGTAAACTGAAGAGGGACAGCACCTAAAAATGTGACTTGGTATGGGGAGACGACCCAGCCTGTTGAGTGCCTGCCACACAAACATGGGGGGGGGGGTCCTGAGTTCAGTGCCCAGACGTGTGGGTACATGCCTGGAATCCCAGCACTGGGGAGGAGGTGCTCAAGGCAGAGTCGGGGAGGGCTCACCGGGCAGTCAGCCTAGCTGAATATGTGAGCGTTCCAGATCTTCAAGAAACCAAGCCTCGGAAAACAAGATAAGAGGCAAACAAGATGGCTCCACCAGTAAGGGAGCGTGCCACTAAGCATGATGACTGAAGTTCAGTCCCCAGATGCTCTTTGTAGAAGAAGAGAGCCAAAGCATGAAAGGTGACCTCTGCATGGGTGTGTACATACACAATGTAAGTAAGTGTAATTGTTTGTCATCTGGAGCAAACACACACACACACACACACACACACACGCACGCACACATACCATACCACAAACACACATACCCATACCCCACCCACTCCACCCCCACCCCCACACACACACCCGTATGCACATGTGCATAGGCAAGCACCTTGCCTGACACCTAGTAGGTCCTCCACCAAAATCACCTCCTTTTCCACACTCCCTCTCTCATGCTACAGAGATTCCAAGCCTGAGACTCAAAGTTATACGACAAAGCAGGAAGACCCCCCTTACCAAAAATAACATCTCCCTAGGGCATTTCTAGGAACCAAAAATGGCAAAAGTGATGTCCATTTATAAACACAAGCCATTGCTTTTCTAACAGAAGGAACAGCATGTCCAAAACGTGTCCATGTATCTAATGACCCTTATCATGTTAAGTCAGCTGAACTCTTGCCCAGGTATCGCTTCTGGAAATAGTATTGAGTGGCCCCCTCCGCTAACTGCACCTCCCTTCTCTCTCATAGCTGGAATATTTCAATATGAAGCAGTTTTTCCTATTCAGTGAAAACAAAGGGCGTTGATGACACTGACATAGTTGTCATAACTGATCCTCCGAGCCCTGTCATTAAACACCATCGTCACCAGCCTGCCGTCACTAGAAAGATGCAGACAACAAATCACCACCCACGTGTGTGTGTGCTGGGTGGGCAGAGCTCCCTGGCAAACAATCATGGCCCAGCCCCCTCCACCCCCAAAGGACTGAAGCACCCAGATCGCAAGCTGCTTCTGAGAACTGACAGAACTCCAGGGTTCCCACACAGCTCTCGGTGTGTGCACTCTCTCTCTCTCTTCCACCGCATTGCATCATTGGGGGCCATGTGGCTGAGAACGGCACATTCAATCGCAGCTCTCAGGATGGCGAGAAGTCTCCATGGGTAAAGACACTCTACCAAACCCAAGTTTGATTCCTGAGACCCGCATGGTAGGAATGGAGGACTGCATCCAGCAAGCTGTGCTCTCACCTCTGCATGTGCTCCTTGGCTCACATGGTGCTCTTTGGCTCACACATGGTGCTCTTTGGCTCACACATGGTGCTCCTTGGCTAACATGTAGTGCTCCTTGGCTCAATGGTGCTCCTTGGCTTACACATGTATACATACACAGAGAGAGACCAATAAGTGTAAAACCATACTTTTGACCCACCAGAGTATATTCTAGCCGCTTCCGAGGGGGGAAGCTAAGAAGGGACTAGCTGGTCTCACTAACTTCATGTTCCGAGCTGGCTGAGCCTATTCACGTGATCTCTGGGTGATGAAGTGGGTAATGCAGAATGAAAAATTAATCACAGATTGGAACCAGCTCCGATTGGAAGAGTTTGAATGCAGTAGATATCACACACACACACACACACATACACACACACACACACACACAAGTCACACCGCTTCCACTGACTCCTGCCAGAGAGAATGGCAAACCACAAACATCTGGTCCACACCTGTAATTCTAGTATTTGGGATGTGAAACAGGAGGACGGCATTGCAGGTCTGAGGGCAGCCTAGACTACACAGTGTGTGTGAGGCCAGCCTGGACTACATAATAATAACTCTATTTCAGAACACAGAAGACAAGGCCAAGAAGACGGCTCAGTGGATAAAACACAAGTACAAAGACCAGAATTCAGATCCCCAGATTCATGTAAACCACCACCTGTCACGGAGTCCATCCTTAACCACAATCCTGGGAGGCAGATACGGGGCGGCTGGCAGGTCAATTTAGCCCTTCACGGGATTCAGTGTCGAACGCTGACCTGCATGCTCGAGCACACACACCGTGGGGAGGGGGGGTGGTGAGAGGAAGAGAGAGACAGAGGGGGGGGGGGAAGAGGGAGAGAGAGAGGGAGAGAGAGAGAGAGAGAGAGCAAAAGAAAGCCTCTGTGGGAGAAATGGCTCAGCGGTTGAGAACACCTCCTGCTCCTCCAGAGGGCAGGAGTTCAGTTCCGTTGAGCAGGCTGGGTGGCTCACAGGGGTGCACACCAGCTCCCGGGGAGATTCTGAACTCAGACTCCTCGGTACCCAGGACACTCACGATTCTCACTGTCACTAGTCCATGGAGGAAACGTGCTGTCTCCCTCAGCAGGTTTTCAGCTGCACACGCCTCACCCTGTACTCCAGCCACTCCACCTCCTAGATCCTGATGACTGAGTGAGTAAAGAATGACTGTTGCCTCGGAGATGCACTCTCTGTACGGAGTTCATCTATGGGAGCACAGACGCCTGGGGATGTAGCTCAGAGGTGGGACCCCAGAGCCCCGGGTCTAAGGTCCAGCATTGCAGAAGAACACACATAAGAGAAATTCTTACTTAAAACCTGAGTGGACAGAGCCGGGCATGGTGGTGCACACCTTTAATCCCAGCACTCAAGAGGCAGAGGCAGGTGGATCTCTGTGAGTTCGAGGCCAGCCTGGTCTACAGAGTGAGTTCCAGGACAGCCAGGGCTACACAGAGAAACCCTGTCTCAAAGAAAAGAAAAAGCAAGCAAACAAAAACAAGCTTAAATGATCACGAGAAGGATGAGGCTAAGCCCTGATTGCCAGGTCCCTGCCATGTTCAGCCTCAGCTTAGCTGGATCTGGAAGCTTCTACCCTGTGAACTGAGTGGGTGGAGTCCTTCGTCCACAAGAAGCACTCACAGGAGAAGCTACAGAAAATAAGGAAGTACCCAATGTACAAAGCCGAGAACCCCCAGAGATGGGATGACCTAGAGAACATTCCAGAAGTCTGTCTTACCTTCTGTGTGATTTTGTTGGCAGATATGTACACCAACACCAGGCCTTTCCGTGCCCTCGTGACGAGACTGGAATTGGGAGTGTGCTGACCCCAGGGAAGGTGGAGAGCCAGGGTCCACACTGGAACCCACCCAGGACCAGAGGGAATGAAGAAGCAGGGTACATGCCAGAGAGCAGGACCTGGACAGATGTACATGGAGCACACAGGGGAAAGCCCAT